TCTACAGGGTCTTACTACATAGATCGGACTTGCAGTAATTCTCCTGTTTTCAGCCTTCCAAGGGCTGGGAATACAGGTGTGTGCCGCCACGCCCAGTCTCATTTGCGGCCTCAGCACGCCCTGGGGGCAGGGCATTCCCAGGGCCAGCGTCGCACTCTGGGGATGGCTCCCTGGTCCTTGCATCTGCCTACGCAGGTGCTTTGGTCCACTGAGCTATCCAGCTGGCCCCCAAGATTGTCAAGTTTTTTGAAGGTAATTTTCTAAAATGAGGAAGAGGTATACATACACTCCTGATGGTTCTGAAAGAAAGTTTCCCATGAATGGGCCAGGCATGGTGGCACATGCCTGCAATCCCAGCACTGGAGGCTGAGGCAAGAGGACTGCCAAGAGTTCAAAGCCACCCTGGACTGCATAGCAAGAGTTGTTTCCTTTTTTTTTTTTTTTTTTTTTTTCGGAACAGGGGATTGAACTCAGGCCCTTGCGCTTGCCAGGGAGGCGCTTATTCCACTGAGCCACCTCCCCAGGCCAAGTCAAGTTTCCTTTGAACAGAAATACTAAATACTTTTTTTTAAAGCATACCGCATGAACCCTATGGATTCAATATAGATACTATCTACCTCTTTGGAAAAAATAGGTCACACTCACACCAGCAATTCACAGAGATGTTTCTGTTGCATAGTCTTTAATCTCTTGATATCTCTGCAAAGTAGAATGGTTCCACGAGAGCTGTCGAGCATGTCATCACCTTGTGCTGCTTCAGTGATGCCTTTTTTTGGGGTGTGGTACCCCTAGACATTCCAGAGGGCCACACACTGGGGTAGTAAACTGCTGCACTAATGGCAGGGGGTATATTTAATCATCCTTTTACCACTTCAATGTAGTGCAGCCTGGCAAATGTAAAAGGACTGGACAAAGCAGGACTGACTTTTGTAATCAAATGAATTAGTAACATTGAGCCCAGAACCTCACTAAACTAGGGAATTCTTGCCTCAAACTGAACGAAGTAGCCCTGTGAGCTGTCGTTTAACAATGGTAAGATGTCTCAGGCACATCAGGCCTGGGGGTGCAGCACTGGGGTGTATGGCCCTCTAGTCTGTCCCCCTGGGCCCTCCCATGCACGCAAATACATACTGTTTTAAAAGCAGAAATATATGTAATATCCTAAAAGTTCTCTCTCCCTCTCTTCTCTCCTGTACTAGGGATAGAATCAGGACAGCAGACACTGTTGTTTTTTTTTTGTTTTGACATGGGGCATCACTAAATTGCCCAGGTGAGCCTTTAACTCTCAGTCCACCTCTTGGACAACTGGGATTACAGGTGTGCGCCACTGAGCTCTGCCTATAGTTTTCTTTTTTAAATGTATTTGGTACAGGGTCTCACGAAACAGCTTGGACTTACATTGATCCTTCTGTTTTCAGCCTCCCCAGAACTGGGACTACAGGCGTGCACCTCCAGGCCTGGTCTTCGTGGGTGTCTCAGTGTGCCCAGGGGTGGGGCCAGCATGGCATGTGGTGTTGGGGATCAAACCCTGGCCCCCGTGCTTGTTTAAGCAGGTGTTTAGTCTGCTAAGCTATCTTGCTGGCCCTTAATGGTTCTGGGTCTCACTATGTAGACTGGACTTGGAGTGATCCTCCTGTTTTCAGCCTCCCTAGCGCTAGGATCTGAGGCCTGTGCCACCACGCCCAGTCTCAATTGCATGCTCAGTGCGCCCCAGGTGCAGGGCCAGCATGGCACTCTGGGGATCAAACCCTGGCCACTGCACTCTGCCTAAGCAGGTGCTTTAGTCCACTGAGCTATCTGTCCAGCCCAGAAATCCTTAATGGTTCTTTAAGGAGTTAATTTTACTTGCATTCTGCAACTAGCTTAAATTTACTTTTTTTTTTTTTTTTTTTTAAATAAAAAAAGTTAGGCAATGAAGAGCTTGAAACTACTCAAGGAGCATACTTTAAAAAAAATTAAAATGTGTTAAAACGTGGCCTTTGGCATAAATACTTTGTGAATTTAAAAGATTTCCTTAAGCAGATTTTAAAGTGAATTATATTGAATTTTTTTAAAAAAGCAAAAAGATAAAGCACTGAAAATTTTATCTTCTCTATATTCTGTAGATAATCAAGGGAGTCTATTAAGCAAGTTTGATATGAATTAAATTTTAAAAAGGCAAAGTGATAATGGACTAAAGACTTTTATCTCATTTATATTATGTAAATATTAGTCTCAGCTTCAGCAAACTTCACTTGAATAAATATGACAATTGGTCTTTTTTTAAAACAAAATTCGCTTCTAGTCACCTTCTAATCTGTGTGGGTCACAGAGGCTGAGCATTTGCACAGTGGCCCAGAGGCTTCAGAGAGGACAAAGTGAGGGTGACGGACGCCAGAATACAAGAATAACCCAAGATGCCGGGAGCCTCGTGTTTTCTAGAGGAACACAGGACAGAGATGGAGAGAGTTGCCTCACATTCCAGGTGCAAGAAACACAGCGGCCTTCCAAACCCCACGAGAGGCTCGGCCCCAGGCCCATAATCCTGCTGGGCTGTCCTATTAGCGTACTGGCTCCTCCAGCAAGGCTCAGAGCTGGACAGTGACACACACTGAGGGGGTGTGTGTGTGGCCAACCAGTTTCTTCTCAACATGTGGTGGGAGGATCATCTGAAGGGCAGCCTGGGCCACTCAGTGAGACCTTTCAGAAAACACACCACCAATCCACCAAAAAAAGAAGTGAAATTTAATAGATGACATGAATATAATGCTAAAGCTTCTTTTCTTATTCTTCTCTTTCCTTTTTTTCTGAGACAGGACCTTGGGTCTGTAATTCAGCCTGGCCTAAACTCATCATATAGCCCAGGTTGGCCTCAGACTCACAGTGTTCCTCTTGCCTCAGCCTTCCCAGTGCTGGGACTACAGGCATGCACCATGTCTGACCCAACAAAGGTTTTTAAAAAATGCAGGGTCATGGGCTGGGGAGATAGCTGGCCAGTCTAAGTGCCTGCCTGGCAAGTGCAAGGACCCAGGTTTGATCCCTGGTACTGTAGGCTGTGCCAACACCCAGAAGCCTGGGCATGCCATGCCAGCCACTGAAACTGGGCAAGGTGGCACATGCCTGTAATCCCTTACAGCCCTGGGGAGGCTGAGTCAGTAGGATCAATACGAGTCTGAGGTGTGTAGCAAGACCCTGTACCAAATAGATAAATAGTTTTTAAAAATCATATTAAAAAAGGCAAACGATTTATACAATCTGAAGAGAAACCAGAGTATAAAAGAATCATATTAAAAAACAAAAAATAGGGTCCAGGGAGATGGCTCAGTGGAATAAGCACTTCCCTGGCAAGCGCAAGGGCCTGAGTTCAATCCCAGGTTCCTCAGGGAAAAAAAAAAAAAAAAAAAAAAAAGCACGGTCATGTGGGAGGACAGAGATTTGCTACATGATGGCAGGAAAAATTTTTAAAAATGTGATTAGTCTCTGTTTACAGGGTGGAACAAGGAAGCTTCAATCACAGTTACTTTTTCATAGTTTTACTCCTAAGATGAGGCCACTGTGCAGAAAGGAGCATGACCGGTGCACGCGTGGCCCTGGGGATTGAGCTCAGGCCCTTGTGCTTGCCAGGCAAGCGCTTATTCTGCTGAGCACTGAGCCATCTCCTCGGCCCTGGGCTCATTTCTTGATAGCAGTCACTCTTTCCAAGGTAAGATGGAATTTCAGTGTTGTTTCTTCATTCTGTTGGTTTCTTCTTTCTTTTTAAATTTTTTTTAAATTAATTTATTTATTTTACATTTATTTATTGTGTGTGTGTGTGTGTGGCCAGCTCAGCCCACCAGGGGGCGGGGCTGGCTGGCATGTGGTGCTGGGGGA